CCAAGGAATGACGTGCACACCTCTCTCTCTCTCTAGCTTAAGGTGCTTACCAATGTGACATGTACAATAGAAAGAGCTCTTGCATATCAAATAGAGAACGTGACTTTTAAGATCTGACCAAGGAATGACGTGCACACCTCTCTCTCTCTCTCTCTCTCTCTCTCTCTCTCTCTCTGCGTTCACGATCTCATCAATGGCAGTCAAACAAGTTACAGTAGCTTAGAAAACGAAGAAACGCTATCTGCCAGTAGTGGTCACCAAACAAGCTTAGAAGTCACCAACTCGCCAATGACGGTCTTGAAATGCCATCTAGTAGAGGTCACCAAACAGGTTACAGTCCCGCCGACAGACTTTAAGGTGAAACGGTGGCCATCCATCAGCTATTTGGTTTTCACAAAGCACACGAAAGCAAATCTCAAGGGAGACTCTCATCTAATTTTCCTCTCCTTTGACAATATTTTGCTGATGGAGAAATCTCATCTACCAATAAATAACAATGGACATGATGTTGGCATATTTTTATCTAATTCATTTTGGGACCTAATTAATTTTCGAATATTAAACTAACTGATTTTCTAAGTTCCTATCAATATGAAATTTGGAGAGATCAATTCGATAAATTTTTTTTATGATGTGATCCATATTTTCTTTATAAAAAAAAATTATATATTTTTTCTTCTTCTTTTCTCAAAAAGTGCTGAGATGTTTTAGTTTTCCCCCATATAGTATCTCAATTTATGTAATCTCAAAATATAATTTTCTTTCTCTTTTGTATGGTCACTTTCCGTCTTGCTAATGCAATCACCATCTTTCCTCATTCATCACGTCATTTGTCATTTATCATTTGTCTATGCTCCCTCCCCACTGATCGACCCATCACCTCCGTCTTGTCCTCGCTTGTTTCCTCTATTCTGAGGCAAGCCTTCTTCATCAGGAAGCCTCTATCATGTTGTCTCTATCTCTACCCCATGGTATAGAAGAAGGATAGAGATAACGAGAGCGATGGATAAAGAGATATTTCTGAAATTATTAAAATTAGTGTCACTTTATAATAAAAAAAAATAGAGGTACTATTTGAAAAAGGAAAGCAAAAATGCATATTTTCAGAGAAAAACTTTTTGTTTTTTGTTTCCCAATTCGTGCTCATTTTAACAGGAATTATTGCAAGTATTATAATCGAAGTTGTGTGGGAATCCAACTCAAACCAGTCGACGTCGGTCTCTCATTTCAACGCGTAGTTCCCCCACAGCCATGCCATGCTTTCAGTTCTCAGAATATTAACTCCCCTCACACCAACCCAAAGGACTCTTGAATTGTACATCTCAACTCTTATCAGGTGAAACATGCGTCCATAAGAGACCAACCACATTAGCATTATTTAGGTACGCATTTATTTCTTTCCTGCACGGATCCAAACTTTCAATGAATACGTACGTGAAACATGCGTCCATTAGCAACCAATCACATTAGCATTATTTAGGTACGCATTTGTTTCTTTGCTGCACGGATCCAAATCGTCAATGAATACGTCCCGTCCCTGCCCTTACCGCCACATCTTCCAAAACTGATGACCACCACGCAATCGTCTGCAACCTCACCCTAATAAATTGCAACTTTTTCTGTATGTGTTCATGACGCCATCACTGGAATGCATGGAGCAGACACATACTCCGAGCTGCGACTTGCAAGTCGACAAGTTACATCGAGATCATCGCGTGGTTAGAGAGTGACTGCTACGGACAGTGGTGCAGAAAGAAGAAGGAACACGAACGACTCAGCCGTAAACATGAAGAATGCAGTCTGCACATCTTTGATCCATGCAAACCACCAAAAAAGCAAAAACGTGAATCACAAGCCACGTCAATGCCAGCCGGTAAGACAGGTCGATAGAGTTCACCAACTCTTCATGTTACGAAACGTTGCTGTCCATCCAAATAGCTTCACCGCACACCTGTCTACTATCCTTTCTTCCTTTACAGAATGGACTCGACGATGCAATCAACAGGAAGTCTCTTTTACTTCATCTACCGTTTCTATATCTACAAAAATCTACTTCGGTTGATGAGCATCAGAGAAGTCTTCTTGTAAATAATATAAACAGCTGTTTGAAGCATCCATTGGATTCAATATGACAGTCCTATACGCTTTTTTTACTTCTTCTTCTTCTTCTTCTTCTCCCACGTACGCAGACGAGATTAGGTTTGGATCAATTGGGCTTTGTTGCATACGGTTCATGTGATCCAACCATTTCGGTGCTTTCTGCTCCCCATGCACGCGAAGAGTCATCACTTCGCCCCGCTCTTTGTTTTCACCCGCACTGGTCGCCACGCGTGCACTCTCCACTCCCACGTGTCAACCTTCCCAACCCGTGGCCCGTCTCCTCGGGTCAAACCCCTATCTGAAGCGACCGTGT